TAGCATCTAACTCATGTGCGATTTCAACCCTATGTGGTCGATTCCTGAATTACAGAAGGTTGAACTAAATGACCCTCGGGGTCTCTTCCAACTCTTCCATAGAATTCTACAGTTCTATGAAGGCAGGCTGGTTGAGACTGCACGAGTTAAATCCAAGCAATGGGGATAACTTAAAAGCTCTTTTTGCATGGAGTCCGCTTGGGGTTGCTATGCATGGGAAGAGCTTTAAAGCTCTCCTCCTTGCTTGGAGGGCAGCTCAGTACATCAACTCTGGGATGCTCTTGTGAGACCATCCCAGCTCCTGCGAGATCTCGCACAAGCACACCTGTAGTCGTGCTCTCTACATCTCTTGCCTCTCTAACAAGACAGAGAGCTTAAAACCTTTTGGGAGGCCAGATCTGCTTGGGGTTTTTTGGCACAAAAAGAGCTTCTAGGCTGCCTCATACTTGGTTATCTCTCTCTCCCTCCAGCTATGGGTTGGTTGTACCCTTGGAACTGAACCCTGGCATAAATCGCCATCGTACAGTAATGCATTTTTGCATGTTCTTTACACTAGTACATGCATTTATATGCACACATTGGCCTGCTATGTGCATTTCCCACACACATTACTTGGCTGGAGAACAACAGTGCACAATTGGGAGAGGTGTGAATTCTGAAGAACGGCTGTGTTTCCGTTTACGTATTATTTCAGAAACCGAAGTAAGCAAGTTCACGTCTAAATGCAAACTGATCAAATTTCTTCCCTTTCCCAGCAGCAGCAAGAAATGGCTGTACAGTCGCCTTTCAACCATAGCAAAGCTTGACTATAGCTTAAAGCAATGTAGGAACCAATCCAACAGCTCTCTGGAATATGGTCCCTTTTCTTATGAAGAGCAACAACCAAATGCTAAATGCCGCTCCCCCATATGATTTTGGTATCTTCCTTTTGGGGGAAAAGCCTTTTCTCCAGAACTGAAGGAGCCTCATCAGAATCACAGATTTGGGGAAGTTTCACTGCCTCAATGCTACAACAGGAAATTACCATTATCTTAAATGTGTTTTCTTCTTTTAAAAAATAAAAAAACATAGTATTTTCCATAACACACCCATCTTCCACATGAGGTTTTTTTTTGTTTGCTTTCCAAAAAATTATTACCATTGTAATGTTTTCATTTTTGTTTTAAATTAAAAGAAAGAAAGCTTTTCTTCTCAATTGTGACAGAAACTGAGGTAATGCATGTTTGATACGGGGAGGGGGAAACCTCTTATATGGTGAGGGGAACAAGTCCAAAAGTGGACGGGCAACAGAAGGGAAAACAAAGACCAAGAACAAGGATAATGGAAAACATGTCACACTCGCGCGCGCCCAACGGACCCCATTCCCAACATCCCCAACCTTCCCCCTCAATTCCCCCCCTCAAAACAATTCGAAAAATAAAAATAAACCAAAACAAGGTCTATATGGTGTTCTTAATCCTTATCTACATTATTGCACAAAAGATCAAGGACAATTGGAACCTAAGGCAAAAAGGAGACGTTGCAGCTAATATCTAAAAATTCTGTGCAATGCCTATTTCTAAAAAAAGTCTAGCCTCGGCTGCCACCCCACACAGAGACAAGATGGTGGCAGTGACGCCAAGGAGAAAGGGAGGGGAAACAGCTGCGCCCACTCGGGAAGTCAAGACATACGGATTAACAAGCGGGGACTACGAATTGGCGAAGAGAGGAGTGGCGGGGTGTGCCAGGTCACACCGAAGGAGGTCAGGAAACGCCTGGTGCACCCCCAACACGCAGAGCTTGCCTGAAAGGAGGCAGCGGTAAAGGCAGTTAAAGTGGTGTCTCTCACATACACGTTCTTCCACCCTCCCACAACCCTGGTCAGGGTCTGGGCTAAGAGGATGGAGCCACGGTAAGGTTGCGCTTGGTCACCTCAGGCTGCTGTGTTATCCGGAGCTTACAGACAACTGGGATTGTGGGACGAACGGGAGTCGCCAGCCGGCACTGATGACACAGAAAGTGCACCCTTGCCTTTTTCACACACAAATGCACACGCGCGCACACACACACACAATCTGGTTAAATACCAGCTGCTGGGCAGTGCCCCCTCGAGTTGGGAAGGGGTGGGGAAGTGGTGGCGGGCAGCCACTTTTGAGATTTTGTAAACTGCTTGTTGCTTCGGAAATAGCGTTTTAGCCCTTTGTGTGGAAAGGATGGAACCCTGGAGAGGTTGAGATACACACAAGACACACCCGGCAGGCCCGCAGTCTGGCTCGGAGGAGAGATGAGTGTGTACGACCCCACAGGAAGCGAAGGGCTGAGCTGAGCTGCTCTGCCCAGGGCCATTCTCACCTAGGTTGGGAAATGGGAGGCGAGGCAAGCGGATGGGGACGAAGGAAGGAGACACAACAACAGACTTGGCTTTATCAGAGAGACACTGCAAAAGGCCTACCTTCCTCTACAGAGTTGACCCTCCCCAAAGGAACAGCACCAAGGGGTGACTACCGTGACTCCCGGGAGCAAGGCCTCCCCACAGCTCAAGGGGTTCAAGTCGACAGCAAAGGGAGGTCAGTGTTGGTCTAAGCCCTTGGTGAAAGGAGGGCGTCTCGTCGCTAGGAGCCCCGTTGTGGAAAGGTCGAAAATACTCGCCGTTTGCCTCTTAAGCCCTAGTTGAATTGAAAGCAGATCCATTCCCCTGTGGCTTGCCACAACGCACAGGCACGGCCTTTGGTCTTCATTCTCAACTGATTTCCCCACCCAACGGGTTATCGGGACATTTTGCCATGGGCAATGTTGTTTTAGCACAGTCTACGCTTCAGTCATACTGCAATGACGCCCCCCAAAAACCCTCCCTACCTTTCTTCCCCACACCCTACCCTGTCCCAAAGAATATATCTGTACCAGAATCCTGATTATAAAGTCAGCCCAGAGAGATGGGCAGTATGAACTGGCAGCCCTTGGTGTCATCTGAGGGTCTCCATTAGGCACAGGGCATTGCTCCCTCTCGGATGGGCACTAGTCCTGGCTCCTGTAATGTTTAGATGTCCATGTTTTCCAGCATACTAGAATCCTAAGCCGTGGCTCCAACTCAGGTTTTATAGAGGATTCTTCTCTTTATATAAAAGCTAGGCCAGTTAGAAAACCATAAAAGAGTTTAGCAGGCCTCAGTTCAAGAGCTTCTTTGATGCTCAATACATTCTTATGAAGCCACCCAGTCTTACAGTTCCCTAGGGGTATACCCTACATACCCTGAAACTTTCTGCCCAATTGCTCCTTATTGGACTGGTGTTCAACAAGACCAGGGGTGGGCAAGTTGTGGCCTTGGGGCCACATGGGAATCTTGGCCTAATTTCACATGGGTGAAGGGTGGAGGTGTAAGATGATGACAGAAAGAGAGAGGAAATGAGAGAGCAAAGGGGGCAGAAGAAAGAGATGAAGAGGGTAGTAAAAATAGAGAAAAGAGGGCAGCAGAAAGAAAAGGTGGCAGAGAGAGAGAGAAAAGGGGGTGACTGAAGAAAGAAAGACAGGGAGCAACAGAAAGAGAGAGAAAAGGGGATGGTAGAAAGAGAGAAAGATGGGGTAGCCATATTCACCTTTGGCCTGGCCCTGCCTGATTTTGACTCCTGTTCCATCCACTTTCAAGGTGTGTGTCCCCCACCTCAATAGAAGGAATGCAGTTCTTGACAAGGAAAAAGATTGCCCACCCCTGAACTAGAGAGCCCTGTCTGAGCTGTGAACTCCCAGGGCGCTGCAGGAAGAAGTTTGTGCTCCCGCACAGAGCACCCTTCCCCTCACACGCGCACCTCTTGCAGTGTGCATGCCTGGTTGCGATCACAGGCGGGTGGTGGCCTCACACAAAATGGCTTCCCCTTTGTCCTCCCCATCATTCGGCCCAAGCACCCAAGCCTTTTCCTCAGGGGCGATGGCCATGTGGCCAACAGTGAACGACTGACCCGAACATCCAGACTGTAGAGACACATTTACATACAGCCACACACACACGTTGACACAGGAAACACTTGCTACATCAGTGGCACCAATGGCATCACTGTGATATCTCTGTGGTCCCCGGATTGCCCTGACTCTGCACTTTGCTCACACCTGGAGGGGTTAGCGCCAGTCAGAAATAAAAACGACTCTCCCCGCCACTTCCTCAGGAAGTGATATATTAGCTGTGCTACGTGTCGGTCTCAACTGGGATCCCTGTTCCCCCCTTGCCATTGGAATTGGAAGCTGGATCCAGTACAAGTGCCAATTCAACAGACAGCCCTCCCCCAGCACACTGAGCTCACCAGCCTCTTTTTCTGGAGTCTGTTCTGACTTCACCCCCTGGCAACCAGGCGTAGGGGCGTTGTAAGCCAGTTGATGCCCAGCAAAGAGGCTCCAGATGACTTAAATAACCAGCCCCAGCCTCTTTGCTTACCACCAACTCTATCCCAGCAGGCCCAGAAAGAAACTGCTTGCCAAATCAATGGGGCTCTTCTGCCCCTCCACCCCAACCCCCAACCCAATCCATTATTATTATTATTATTTTCATCGCAAGGACCCCCGCTCGGAAACCATCTCAAAGCTACTCCTGATGGGCAAAAAGAGAAAGCCACCGGCCAACTGCGTTTCCCTCCCCTCCCTTCAGAGACAAAGTCCCGATTCCCTCAGATGTTCATCCTTGAGGCGCTATGGGCTCCGTCTTCTCCTGCCACCGACTCAGCAGTCCCTTAATCCAGCCCTCAGCTCCCAGTCTCCAAGTGAATGAGGAGAGAAGGCCTTTCTTCTCCTGTGGCCTCAGACAACCATGGACAGCCTTAGGATTACTGAGGAAAACGGAAAGCCACATTATCTATCCTCTTCCCCCACCACCCCTGTTTTTCGTCGTTGTTGTTTTTTTGCTTCGAAAGACATGGATCCCGGTCCCCAAAATGGATTCTGTTCGCACGCAGCCTGTCCCAGAGCAGGAGAGGGCATTGCAGTGCTGACATCTTAACTGCAGGCCGTGAGGCACCGAGGGGCCTGCCACGCCCTCGTCAGACGCAGATCTCGATGGCTGTGGCCAGGACCATCTGGCCTTTGCCTTTGTCCTGCCGCCCATCAGTCCTGCTTCCTGCCCCGGGGGAAGGGAGGCCAGACTCTGAGGCAGACAGCCGGGAGACGCTGCCTTCTGTCAGGATGGTCCTCTTGAGGGGGGTCGGGGTGCAAGTGCTGGGCGTCTCGTGGCGGTGAGGGCCGGCGGAGAGTTTGTCTCCGGTGTGCTTGCGGGAGCGGTAGGAGGGCCGGCGCCGCACCTCCGACATCAGGTCGTACTTGATGAAGAAGAAGACCTCCTTCACAGGGCAGCGCTTCTCCGGGTCCAGGGCCAGCAAGCGCTGGAACATCCGCAGCGCGTTGTCCGTGAAGCGGCGCCACTGGGAGGGCAGCCCCGCCAGGCGCCCCTTTTGCCACCTCACAAACTCTTCAAAGAAGGTGTCCGAGGCTGAGGCTGCCTCCCAGGGGAAGTTGCCCGTCAGCACGCAGAAGATGAGCACCCCGAAAGCCCACACGTCAATGCTAGTGTCCACGGTAAAGCCCTCGGCCCGGCCGGCCTGGCACACCTCGGGCGCCGTGTACGGGATGGTCCCGCTGATGCGCTTCACCCGGCACCCCACTTTGCGCGTCATGCCGAAGTCGGCCAGCTTGACACGCCGGCAGTCGCGGTCGAAGAGGAGGACGTTTTCCGGCTTGATGTCCCGGTGGACTAAGTTTTTGCTGTGCATGTAATCTAAGGCCAGGCCAAGCTGCTGCACACAGCGCTTCACCATGTCCTCAGGAAGCCCCACCTGCAGGTAGAGAGAGAGATACCATCAGCTAGGAAAGGGCATCAGGAAACGCCAGGAATAAACATGGCCTCCCAAGAACACTCAAGGACTCTAGACTTCCGGGACAGCGCCATCGGCAATGGCGGAGTTCCTCTGACAGAGAGGAACCTGCTCCGTGAAAATTGGGTCTTGCCGCCGCGGTGAAGGCGGAGACCCTTTAAAAATCCCAGGCGGAGGAAGCCTGGGAACGTGGGATTTGGCTGACACCAGGAGCGCCTCCCCTACTCGCAAGGAAACCCTTTTTTGGGGGTCCGAAGCGACGTGGGGTGAGTGGCGCGGTGTTTTGAATCAACCGCTACTTTTACGGAGTGAAGCCGCACAGCCGTTGCTGGAGAGCGCTGTCTTTTTCCTGTGGACATTTGGACTCTAAACAAGTACCCGTGAGTAGAACAGAAAATTGGATCAAGTATTAAGAAATATTTTAATTTGGCATCGAAACGGGAAGGTTCTAAACAGGAAGTCCGCCTCCCGTTTTTTGTAAATAGATTGAAGCAAAAACTTTGTAAGCTAAAGTCTGGAAAGTCGTACATAAAGTTCTAAATTTCCTTCATTCATTACCACCAAAACCCCTCTTGGAAGCAGGATAAAAGAGGGGGATTTTTGACTGTTTAAGCATGCAGGAGAGAGAGTAAAGAAAGATAAATTTTCCACTGTCTCAAACCTGGGAACGGGGTGTCAGAGACAGAAATTTATGGGGAAAGTTCATCGACTGTGAACGGAACGTCTTTTGACAGATAGGAAAAAAAAGAGAAATATACTGATTCCAATGTTGCTTCTTGCAATCAAAAGAAACAAAGTATTTGAAAAGTGAAAGTAACTTTTCCTTGTTGGTCCTGCTTTTAAAAGATGAATACAAATAGAAATTGTCTCCTCTAGAGGGAGCTTGTCAATTTGTTGCTGGAGCTGATCTGGGGACCTCACAGCTGTATGATTAGGATCGTGAGACCAGACTCTAACCTTGGGGGGGAAAATGTGTTTACAAGAAGTCTTGGTGCTTGCTTTGTGCAAGACAAGTGCTTTGCTGGAGCAGATGCATGAGAAGATGGATTTGATGACTTTTGCAGTTAAAAACTTTGGACAAACAGCGAATACCCATATAGAAATCATTCAGGAACCAGCCCAGGAATCTGTTTTGATAGGGCAAGCGCAAGGGCAGAAGAAAATGGAGGAGGTTGTTGTTGAACCTCAAATAATACAAATGGAGAGACCCGAGACCTTGCAGGAGTATAAGCCGCTGATCTCGAAGTTCGAATCTGGAGTGGCCCAGGGGGGGTTTGGAGTTGTGAGGGCTCTTAATTTTGGAAAGACTTTGAAATATGCTTTTAAATACTTTCTGGATTACAGTGTTGACTGTGGGCAATGGGACTGTGGGGAATGGGCTGATCTGCTGAGGAGAGATGGAGATGGAGATACTTTTGGATTGGAGTCCTCCCGAGATCTACTCCCCAATGAGAAAGGAAAGAAAATAAGAAAAAGATCAACAAAAGATAAAGTAAAGGGCAGGTATAAACAAGAAGAAGATCTGCAGAAGGGGCATGGAAAAGATTTAAGAGCCTCGGACATAAGAGCACCAGGTTGATGGATTAGATAAACGAGAAAGGACTGACATAACCCGAGACCAGGAAGAAGAGACGATGGATGAAGATTGGAAGAAAGTTTCAAAATTTATTTAGAAAAGTATTGTAAAATTAATGAGTATTAGAAAAATGTTGGAATGAAATTATTTGGCCTTAGCAGAAATGTCAAAAAGAATTATGAAAGAATATGTTATGGTTAAAAGAATTTGGTATATATAAGTTTTAAGCTTTAAGTTTTAGGGTTTTTTAGGTAAGATAAGGTTAAAATAGATTAAAGTAATTTAAATGACAGAATATTGTGAAAGATGGGAAGGATTTGCTGAGGTAATTAATAACTAGAATACAAAAAAGGGAGGTGTGAGGAGGTCGTTGAAATAAGTTAATGAAAGTTAAGGATTTGGGAATATTAGATTTGATTTTTAATTGTTTGTTTATTCTTGTTTTTTGATTTAGATGTATTGTGTGTTTTGTTATTTTATTTTACACTGGTTTTTATTGATCTGTATTGTTTAATTGTTATGTTTATCTACTTCTTTCTCTCTTTTTCTCCTTTTCTTGTCTTTTCTTTCTTCTTTTTTATGTAACTTTAAAATTCTCAATAAACATCATTAAAAAAAAAAAAAGAACACTCAATGACTCTAAAGGCTCCATTTCTTGTTGTTATCAAAGTGAGCCTTGTCAACTCGGGGAATGACCAACGATTCTCCTGAAGCTGATCTCAGTGCTCAAGTTGGGCTATAAGGGTTCAGACAATTCCTGGGATCGATTGTTAAACCGCTCTGAGAATTGCAGCTCTGGGAGTGGAATAGAGCTCTCTTAACGCTCTAACAAACTACAGCTCCCAGAATTCTTAGAGGGAAGCCATGCCTGTTTAACGAGGCATCATAGCGCTTTGGATGTGTGGGTTCTGAGGGACCCAGACAGCCAAAAAGCCAGTGGAACTGAGGCCTAGTTACCTGTGGCGGAATGATGTCAAAGAGGTCTCCGCCAGGTGCATATTCCTGGGCAAACACGTAACAGTCCTCCGTCTCGAAGACCACATCAAAGACCTTGATGATAAAGGGGCTCGAGGAGAGTGTATTGGTAATGCTGAACTCCCTCAGGAAGTTCTTCAGTTTCGTCTTGTTCTTGTTGACAAACTTCAGCGCCATCTTGGTGCCTGTAAATGGGGAGGGAGAAGTGGGAGGAAGGACAGAGAATGCTCAGGATGTCACTCACTTTGACTTACGAAAGCACAACAAAATGATTTCAGAGTTTACCGCCTTGATGGAGCAATTGTGATAACTGGAAAGGAACTTTTGATAGGGCTGAAGGTTCCCCACAGGTTGTGGGATGTGTTATGGTCAATCCCTGAGAGAGGGCAGGGTGAATTGGATTGAGGGTGCATAGAATCTAGACCAGACTTTATCAAACTCGGCCCTCCAGATGTTTTTGGCCTACAACTCCCATGATCCCTAGCTAGTAGGATCAGTGGTCAGGGATGATGGGAATTGTAGTCTCAAAACATCTGGAGGGCCTAGTTTGAGGAAGCCTGATCTAGAGAGCTGTACAAAGGTAATGTTTAGATTCACTGCTCTGCTCACATTTGACTCTGGCCCCACCATTGGAATGTGGCCCCTGGAATATTGCCCAGAAGGGAATGTGGCCCTCAGGTTGCTTTAAATGAAACATACAGGTGGAAGAGGTATTTGCTTCAGGAGCCAGGTATCTCAGGAGTACATAAGGCAGGTATGGAGAATGTGTGGTCCTGCAGATATTGCTACAAACCCCATCATCCCTGGTCAATGACCAACCTGATGGGAGCTGCAGATCAGCAACACCTGGAGGGACAATGGTCCCTCACACCTGACCTAAGGCATGGGTGTTCTCTTGCTTGGACTCTACCAGCAGAGGGCACTGCTGAGCTCACCTGTGCTCTTGTGGGAAACAAGGTCCACCTTGCCATAGGTCCCTTTTCCCAGCTCGCGGATGAGGTCATAGTGTTTGTTGATGTCCGTGCCGGACAGCGTGCGGATGGCCAGTGACTGCATGTCCTCCGTGATGAGGGGGACCCCACAGCAAGCCAGCTTGCGTGTCGGTTCCTGCTCAATAGAGCCCGCACTCATGGTCACACTGGAAGACAGAAAAGGAAAGGCATTGGTCAACCATCACGCCTTCCTAATAGCCCAAGCCTTCTGGGATGCAGGAGTCGAGTCTGTTGCATCCATCCAAAACCCAGGCTGCTATTCTCTCCCCCCTCCCAACTTTCACTCAGAAACCATGAACTCTGAAATATCACAATTCTGCAAATGCCAATGTTAACATGCAAGTTAATGAAATAACATTTGGGAAAGCGGAGTTCAGAACCATGGCAGTTCAGATGCTCATGTAGGTTTTGTACATCCGCGCCTGGTTCAAGCTGAAAGGTGAGTGAGGACACAGGAAACTGGTCCCAGTTGTTATAGAAACTACTGAATGGGGTTTTAGATATGTATACCAAAGGCACAGCTACTTAAATATACAAGTGTGGGTGTCAGGCTAGCATTGCTGTAATTATTATGAAGTACAAATACAGAATATCCACGGCAAATACTCTTAAAATAGTATATCACCTTCTTTCCCTCCTGATTATTATTTTTTAAAAATCTGCTGCACGTATATCAGATGTGGCGGACTTTTGGCCCTCCAGATGCTGCTGAACTCATCCAAATTGTGGCCATCGGTACATATTGCGGGAGCGAGTTTCATAGTTTTTAACTATGCGCTGCATGCAGAAGTACTTTCTTTTCTCCTGAATCTTTCAACATACAGATGCATTAGATGTCTGTGAGTTCTAGAGTTATTAGAGGAGGAAAACTTTTCTCTATCATTCCACCCCCCCAATCTTGCATAATTGCATATATTTTGTGCCAGATCCATGCACAAACGCTGCTTCAGAGCAGCATAAGAGGGAGGGATATGGATAGTCTGGAAGTAGCAGGACACAATTTGCACTTTTCTGAGCAGAACTCCTCTCCCCCTCCCCAAGGCATCATTAGCCATTCCCCTTTCAGGGTACAGTGCAGAAGCGCCATACATCTCCCTGCTCTAGATACATCAGCCCTCATGATGTCACCTACTGCAAAGAGCACTGCCTCCTCCCCCTGCAGATTTTGCCTTGGCGGCTCCCCGCCCCCCAACCTGCAAGGCTCGCCACCTAAAAATTCAAGAGGGACTAGCCTGATATGAGTGAAGACGGGATCTGAGATTAGTCCCATGGTGCCTCCCTCTGAGTGGAAGCATAGTTGCATTAGTCAGCGCAAGCGGGAGCCCTGCAAAAAAATGTTGCAGTGTGGAGCCCACCCGGTCACAGTTCCACCAGCTCCATTCCATTCTCTACTCCACATTTCCCCTTTTCCTTCCCTCCAACAGCTTCTCCATGACCACAGAGCACACTCACTTCCCAATGGCCTCTTTGCAGTCCCTCCATATTGGTTCTCCTCCCCTCTCACAATTTAGGTTGTGTTTTCTTTTGGGGTCAGCGAATGGAGGCGCCAATGATCAACCCGAGCCACATTCAATTCATTGGTTCCTCCCAGTCATATGAATGGGGAGCTCTTCTGTCCCAGGGACATTTAGAAAGACGCCTGCTTCTTGGGAGAAAAGCAATGACAAACCTAGACAGCATCCTAAAAAGCAGAGACATCACCTTGCCAACAAAGGTCCGTATAGTTAAACTATGGTTTTCCCAGTAGTGATGTATGGAAGTGAGAGCTGGACCATCAAGAAGGCTGATCGCCGAAGAATTGATGCTTTTGAATTATGGTGCTGGAGGAGACTCTTGAGAGTCCCATGGAATGCAAGAAGACCACTGGAAGGACAGATCCTGAAGCTGAGGCTCCAATACTTTGGCCACCTCATGAGAAGAGAAGACTCCCTGGAAAAGACTCTGATGTTGGGAAAGATTGAGGGCACAAGGAGAAGGGGATGACAGAGGACAAGATGGTTGGCCAGTGTTCTCGAAGCTACTAGCATGAGTTTGACCAAACTGCAGGAGGCAGTGGAAGACAGACATGCCTGGCATGCTCTGGTCCATGGGGTCACGAAGAGTCGGGCACAACTAAACGACTAAACAACAACAAATGAGCAAGGAAACGGTCCATTCAGACATGGAGTTGGGTCTCCCTGGTCACTTTATATCTACACCTCCCATTGCCCACCAGCCTTTTCTGGCCATTGAGTTTTCACTGAGCTATTCTGGGAAGACTTGCTAATTAAGCAGATATAGATTTATATAGGCCCTAGGTCTTTGTTGTACTGCTTTCAATGCCTATTTAAAAACTTGGGCAAGCCTACCCAGACGCATAATTTTATCATGTACATTTATTTTAAAAATCTGGCCCTGCTTGATGAGGATCCTTATATGAGATGCAGCAACCAGGCCTATACATTGCATTCCCAAGCCAGCTGCACCTAGATGTTTGGATCGGGGCACAATGACAATTACTTTCCAGCGTCCTCCCCAAACCCACTTCATCCCATACCATGAATTGGGATAAATAGGGTGGCGAGCCCAGGACTCTGTTGCATAATTCATTCCGTTGATTCATTATTATTACTTTCTTCCTCCAGCTCAGACTAAAATTGCTGTGTTTAACTGCTTCTCATTGACTAAACCATCATCCCTCCCCTCCCACCCCCCCGCTTCCTCACTCTGTTGTCTGTGGCAGGTATTTATAGGCAGTCGCTATGTCTCTCTCTGGTAACAGCCGCTTCTCTCCTCAAAAGACCGCACACTTCTCAAACCTCGCATGCCTCTTAGGGGACGGGGTGGTGACCCAAGGCTAGAGAATGCGTGCTCTGCATGCCCAAAGTCCTGGGTTCGATCCCGGGTATTGCCACCTGAGAAAAAGGCACAGTTAGCAGATAAAGGAATGGCCAAGACCCTAGACAGCTGCCACCAGTCAGAGGAGATGATAATGGGATTGACGGACAGAGTACCAGAACACAGGGACCTGACTTTTTCTGAGCCAGACCAAATGGCCACCTCCCTCAGTACAGTGGTACCTCGGGTTAAGTACTTAATTCGTTCCGGAGGTCCGTTCTTAACCTGAAACTGTTCTTAACCTGAAGCACCACTTTAGCTAATGGGGCCTCCTGCTGCTGCCGCGCCGCCGGAGCACGATTTCTGTTCTCATCCTGAAGCAAAGTTCTTAACCCAAGTTAAAACTTCTGGGTTAGCGGAGTCTGTAACCTGAAGCGTATGTAACCCGAGGTACCACTGTACTGCCCTACACCAGAGGAGAGGGACATTTCTTTGGTTCCACAGGTAGGTTAGGTTGAGAAGAAGAAGAGTTTGGATTTGATATCCCGCTTTATCACTACCCGGAGGAGTCTCAAAGCAGCTAACATTCTCCTTTCCCTTCCTCCCCCACAACAAACGCTCTGTGAGGTGAGTGGGGCTGAGAGACTTCAAAGAAGTGTGACTGGTCCAAGGTCACCCAGCAGCTGCATGTGGAGAAGCGGAGACGCGAACTCGGTTCCCCAGATTACGAATCTACCGCTCTTAACCACTACACCACACTGGCTCTCAGAGAGGCAGCGACTGGCCCAAGGTCACTCAGTGAACTTCATGGCTGAGTGGAAATTTGAACCCGGGTCTCCTGAGTCCTGGATCCAACCTTCGAACCATGAAACCTGTCCCAATTCACCAGGGAAAGGTCTGCATTTCTGGTATCCATGCCTGCTGAAACACTGTCCTCTTGAGGACATATTTAAAAGGTGGACAGAAAATCTGCATATGCTAATTTATATGTGTAGATGGAAATGACATCCAACTTCCAGAAAAGCTTCCTTCTAACTACTTTGGGTTGAGTTCTGATGGAAACAGGATGGGAAATTGCCAGTGTTTGATTATTCATCCCATGTCTGGAAACAAAGTCAATCCAGCGCATCTGGTCAGTATGAGCTGCCATTATTGCTTTCTGTCCTCAAACGATAAGTGATTGATTACAGGTCTTCCCCCCCTCCCCATGGCATTATTTGCTTTGCTCTGAAACGAATGGGATGGTATTACATCACGACAATGCAATTTACATGATTTAGGTGGTTAATTATGTAAGGGATATAATTTTGCCACTGCAGACAGCAAGACGGATAACATATTTGGGGGCGGAAGATGAACTGCTGCGGAACAGAGACACTGCTGCATGTGATGAATACAGGGAAGGAGACAAAACAATGCTTTCTTACATCCCTACCTGTAGACAATGTTTAAAAAGGGGGGGGGGCAGGAAGTTTGTGACCTGGGGCAGAAGATACCCCTTATTAACACCCATGCTTTTAGGGGATGCCTTTAAAAAAAAAACTACTCAATGTAAGTTTCTACAATTGTTATTCTTCAAGTTTCAAAGCCACATTAGCAATGGGAGCTCACTTTTCTTTTTCCAGCAAACCTCTGGCAAACACCTGTCCATGTATCTTAAAGTAACTAAGCCTAGGTACATGCAACTGCAGCAATCACATCTTATTCCCCTGTTTATCCCACCTCCACTTCCATCTCCTTCCTCTGCTGTCTCCTCTATTTCTAGACTGCAAACCCCTTGGGGGAAGGGCGTGGCCTTCTCATTCTCTGCCAAGCATCATGTGCATGGACACTGCTGAACAAATTAATCAGCACCATCCTCTCGATTCTTGCATACATGAATGTCAGCCCAGAACTGTGAACGCCAAGGCTTGGTCCATGCATAACCTCTAATACACACGACCCTGTGAGTGAGGTTCATTTTGAATTCTTAAGTATGGATTGTGTCCAACTGAGTTCAACTCAGAGTAAGCCCATTAGAATCAATGGACCTCTATGCATTTGGCGGTATTCAGCTAAATACTGGTGCTGAGGCAAAGATGGATGCCAGCACCACAGGACTTCCCCCCTCTCTTCTCCCTGAAAGGGTTCCACACCACCCAGATATCTGCTCTGGAGGATTGGGAGAACCCCCAGGGGGGGCAGATTCATAGAATTAGAGAATTGTAGAGTAGAAGGGACCCCAAGGGTCATTTAGACCAGCCCCCTGCAATAAAGGAATCTTTCACCTAACGTGAGGCTCAAAACCACGACCCTGAGATTAAGATTCTCATGCTCTACCGACTGAGCTATCCATTTATATTAGGAAGAGCGTTCCATTGCACAAGGAGAAATTGTTGCACCGATGGAACATACCTCTTAGAGCTACGCTGAATACAACCCACTGGGCACAATCATGCTTTTCTGGCATTTCTTTTCCAAAATGGCAAACTTGTCCTTTTGCTTTAGATCGCCGCAGGATTTTTGTGAAAGAAATCAGGAACGCAACACTTTGCAGGAGGACTGGTGTTAACAGCTTGCATGTTGTTTTGTGCAGCTTTAAGGAAGAAATCAATGGTGCAGTAATCTGAATGTTACATGTGCACACGATTGTCCTTATTTCTATCGCTGGAATATTGGACAGTATGTCACTTTTGATGGCTGCCCCGTGTTTCCAGTGGTGAGACGTCCTGCCCTCCAGCAATGTCTACCCCAGCCAATTTTCACTTGATTGCTTCGATACAGCGCTGTTCAATCTTGTTGGCAAGTCTGTGCTTCAAGGCGAGTTCAACTTATCGAGACACTGTACCACTCCGGCAAGAACTACAGGTCACAGGCAGACACATCCCACTGGGGAGTAATATGCACAGTTGCGCAATTAGGCCCTACGCAGCCCCTGCCATTTTTTGCATAATACGTTTTTGAGGAAAGATTTGATTCCGACGGTACTACCCTACCAGTTCTCTGGCTGCACATAGAGAACAGCGGCTTCTGTCGGTTATCAGACAGCATCAAGATTCTGCCAAAAGTAACATAATCTTCATTGGAAGCTGAAGTTCATACAGCAGTAACATGGGTGGGAGAGCATAAAAACATGAGACAAACCCTGCTGCTGGGTCAGACCAAAGGCCTATCTAGTACAGCATCCTGTTCTCACAGTGGCCAGTCAGATGCCGGTGGGAAGTCGGCAAACAGGACCCGAGTACAACAGCACTCTGCCTGCCTGTTATTCCCAGAAAGAGGTCTTCAGAGGCCTACAGCCTCCAACAGTGGAGGTGGAACACAGCCACTGTGGTTAGTAGCCATTGACAGCCTTATCCTCCATGAATTGGTCTGATCTTCTTTCAAAGCCATCACTGCCTACTGTGGGACTTAGTGCCACAGTTTAACTGTGCACTGTGTGAAGTAGGACTTTCTTTGCTCTGTGCTGAATCGTCCAACATTCAGCTTCATTTAACATCCATGAGTTCCAGTGTTATGGGAGACAAGCAGTGTTCGAAATTAGCCAGGTGCCAGGCACATTTTGCAGGGACGCAGGTGGCGCTGTGGTCTAAACCACAGAGCCTAGGGCTTGCTGATCAGAAGGTTGGCAGTTCAAATCCCGGCAACGGGGTGAGCTCCCGTTGCTCGGTCCCTGCTCCTGCCTACCTAGCAGTTCAAAAGCACATCAAAGTGCAAGTAGATAAATAGGTACCGTTCCAGTAGGAAGGTAAACGGTGTTTCCGTGCACTGCTCTGGTTCGCCAGAAGCGGCTTAGTCATGCTGGCCACATGACCCGGAAGCTGTACGCTGGCTCCCTCGGCCAATAAAACGAGATGTGTGCCGCAACCCCAGAGTCGTCCGCGACTGGACCTAACAGTCAGGGGTATCTTTACCTTTACCTAGGCGCATTCTGCACCTGGCTATCAGCCACTAGGACCAAGTGAAGATGCCTGGGCGCCAGCATAGTGCCTGACGTCTCCACCATCTGGAGGTGCATGCCTGGGGATCACTGGATCCTGACTCCTTTCACACGCTAATACCACATCCTGTAGAATTCTATCAGCTATATTTTATTTGCACAATCAGAATGAATTTCAGGAACCAAAATGCTTTTTCTGTGCAGCCGGAACAGGAGCATTATAGCTAATGGTTGTAGCTTGTCTTCACTTACCCCACCCCACTGCCCTATTCACAATTGTAAAGAATATTCTTACATTATGAATGGTCTATGTCACCACTAAGAAAACAGAAGTAGGAATAGGCCAATATATAAACAGACTGCCTCAGGATCAAGTCACTTTTCTTCTTTAAGTTCTCAACGGTCTTAACCCAGCTCAAGGTTGCCGTCTGAACTAGCCAGATGTTTAACTGATAATCAATCTCAAGTCAGTCCATCATTTGAAAAATAAGATTTTAGATCCATTTGGTCCAAAAATGACAAGAAGACATTATATTTTGGCAACTGTAACCTTGGTTTAAGGAGCCATTTGGCGCCTAGCTTATATACTGTACAGTGGACGTTCGGGTTGCGAACGTGATCCATGCAGGATGCACATTCACAACCTGCAGCGTTCACAACCCGCAGTGGTGCGTCTGCGCACGCGTGGGTTGCGATTCTGCGCTTCTGTGCATGCACGGCCCCCGAAACCCAGAAGTAACCTGTTCCCGTTCTTCCAGGTTTCGGCAGGTCCATAACCCAAAAAAACGCAACCTAAAGCGACTGTAACCCGAGGTATGACTGTATCTGTGTTTCTAACAGTGGAGACATGCTCTTCTCTAGCCAGTTTCCCCATACCACACATTGTTTAATACGCCACTATCAACTAACAGCAGCCCCCCCTGTCCTTCTACAGCACCCTTGGCATATTAAATTGTGTGCAGGAAGCAGCTCTTACTCTCCACGCAAGCTGTAAAACCAGATGATTTATTTCCTTAGCATGGGGACGCTGCACACTTCAGCTCTGCAGTTGCCCCAAGCCCTGGGTGCATCCGCTCTGCCAATAAGTAATTGGCAGCTCATTAGCAGCTCATTGCAAATGCTGGAGGCCACGTGATCAGGCTTTGTGCCCTCAGGGCAGGGAGGGCCAGAGAGTTTGCACATCATTTGCTAAGTCCAGCCGGCCTCTTGAAAGAAACAGGGGGAAAATTACAGTGCAGGGAACAACCACCCCATTATTACGTGGCAGAACATAGAATAGAATCATAGCTGGTGTTAACACAGAAATCAATACCATTAGCCCACAAGAGGGTAGACAAGGGAAAAGGTTTGTTTATGGGAGCAGGGGCTCCAGAATTTGTTAGAAGGCACGCCTCTCTCCCCACATCAAACCTCTCTGGTGAAAATGTGCAGAAACATCACCTAGTAGGAGCCTTCTGGGTGTGCAGCGGGGTTGTGTGTTTGATAGGGGCTGCATAGGTGGCAATGGTGAAACGTGATCAATTGCCCAGTCAAATGATAGCCAAGCATTTAAGCCATTAACTGATTAGAACAGCAACAAAGAAAATGAAGCTACTTTAAAAAGAGGGGGGATACAGCTCAGTGGTAGAGATTCTGATTTGCATGCACAAAAAGACCCAGGTTCTGTCCCCAGCATCTCCAGGTAAGGGCTGGGAACTAGTCTCTGCTCCAAAGCCTAGAGAGCTGCTGCCAGTCAGAGCAGGCAATAGAGACCTAGATGTACCAATCGTCTGATTCAGGATAAGGGAACTTCCTCCATTCCTAAAGGGAAGGACCACAGCTCGGTGGCAAAGCATCTGCCTTGCTGCCGAAGGTCCCAGGTTCAATCCCTGGTATCTCCAGGTTTGACTGGGAATGTCCCCCATCTGAACCTTGGAATTACTTCCAGTTAGTGTGGACAAAATTGAGTTGGATGGGCCACTGGTCTGACTCAGGATAAGGCAGCTTCCTATATTGCTAAAGGGAGGGGGTTGTAGCTCAGTGATAGAGCACCAGTTTTGCATTCAGAAGGTCCCAAGTCCGGTATCTTTAGGTAGAGCTAGGAGAGACCCCTGCTTGAGATCCTGGAGTGTCGCTGCCCATCAGTTTTAGATGGACCTGATTTTGAATAGGCAGCTTGCATTTCCCTTCTGCCATGGAATCCAAGGCAGTGCACTTGAAGGTCTCAGGGAGTCAGTCGCCCATCCAGACATGGGCAAGACCCATACCTGCATGGCTTCAGCAAAGTGGGTGGCCTCTTGTGTCTTCATACAATTCCTAAAACCAGGTAATCCCAAAGTCCAATCTCAACAAAGCACAGAGCTGGGATGGATGAAAACCCCTCCCCACCACAAGAAATCCAATGGATATGGGTTCAGCCCTGACTCATTGGCACTCATCCAGGCATAGCTCCTTCCTTTTTCCTTGCCAGGGCTCCATCCCAGAATACACAAAAGAAGAGAGTGCCCCTTGGAATATGCAGAGTATCTTTCACCAGTAAGTGATCTCAGCCATCCCTCCCAAGTTTAGTTTGTGCAAGACACATGGCTTTCCTAGATCCCTCCTCCCTGGAAAGCACAAGCTTTCAGTGACCCACTGGGCAAAGTTCCCATAGATCCTGCAGATATTCCACTCCAGGTGCACAAGCTGCTCTCTGCTGGCTCTCAGCGCTGGGAGAATTTCGCCCAGCCAGCTCTGGGACTTAGCAGAGCACCTGCCCATTTGGAAAAGCCAACTGTCCAAGGTGCTGCTTTATTAACAGGCTTCAGGCAAGAGCATCCTACATCATTGCCTTGACTGGACTTGCTTTGGTTTAAAGGCTGGAATGGCACCAGGGAACATGGATGTTGCTCTCTGAAGGCACCATCAAAGCAGGTCTGCTACTGTTCTGCCTGAGCTGTGAAACAGAGGGTGCCAGGTTCAGATCTGACCTCTGCTACGCTCTTAGGCAAGCCTCTCTCTCTTAGCCAGGGATGGGGAACTAATGGCCCTCCAGATGTTGTTGGCAAGGGGTGATGGGAGTTGTAGTCCAGCAATATCTGGGAGGCTGCCTTCTATGGCTTTCTTATATCCGTTGTTTGACGTGCTGTTTTATAGGTATATTTTAAATCTTTGCTTTATTTCTTTTTGGTAATAATCTTTGTACAACTGCTGTCCAGACTCTGAGGCTGAAGTGGAGGCTGGAGAGGAGGAGGCCAGGAGACAGGAATTTGGCCTACTGCCAAAGCATCCAGGGAGACTCCCCCTTCTGCTGCAACCAGCTCCCGTCCCCTCTGATCTCCCAGAATATGCAGAGAAAGGAAAAGAGCAGAGGAGAGATTGGTTGCGCACAGATCGGGGGGGAGACCCCTAGAGAGGAGGGGACTGTGGGAAGGCAGGGACCTTCAGTCCTCACAA